TTTTTTTTTTTTTTTTTTTTGAAGATTAACCCACAAAAGCAAATAGAATGCTAGGAAATGCATCGTAATAATTCATGTAATTTTTCGTCAAATTGAAGATCTATTTACCATTGAAATGAAATAATAGCTAAAAAACTGTTTTCATGGTCTATACTAAGAGAGCATGGAGTGACAAATAGTGTAAGGAAAAGATCAAGATAGTAATTTGTGCAAAATGATAAGCAGAAGCGAATACTAAATATTACCGTTAACAACACACGGCAAACAAGAAAAGGAGCACAAAAGTTGAGATTCCTTACCGCATTATAGATTGCTCTAATTAATGCACTGTCTTAGCCCATCTACACTTTGAGTTTGGTTTCCATTTGTAGCAGAGAACATCTGAACAATGCACCAAAATATTTTTAAAACAAGAAAATATTATTTAAACAAAATGCATAAAGTATGCAAGTAAATATGCGCGTTAAAAGAAACAATTACAACTTTTTGCATGATCTGATGAGGCACCAATATCATCATATCTTTTCAATAATCTCAGAAAAAGATGGATATTCTCAAGAATTTCAAGTTCACATTCCATGAAGTGACGAAGGATCGGACATGTTTTAAAGAAGTTTCACAGTAAGGCAGTCAATCAGGAATGCAAGAAAATGACGCCATGGACCAAAGCCTATAAGTGGAAGATTTCTACAAGGGGTCTTGTTGCCACCCTAGAATACAAAATCTAAGTTTTGGATAATAGTATAGTATAGATAAAAAATGGTTTTTCAACTGATACCAAACTGAAGCAAAAACTATTTAAGGCATCACACCAACCGTTCCATTAGAAAAGGCAATGGAGAAAAAAGGTGGGGGACAATAGAAGACCAAAAAGTGTTCAACCATCAAAGTATTCCTACTCTTTCATAATGGGCTAGAGTATTGAGAGGAGATTGTGGTCCCTCAGCTTTATTTTGGTAGTTTTGATACCCTATATAACTGACAATCAGAAGAGATTTAGCAGAAGAAACAAGTTACTCAAATAAATTGAAAAGAAAACAGAAAAGGCTGAGAAATTTTGTCCCATGCATATTGAATCGAACAAGAAATTCCAAGAGTATTATTGCACTATAAATAAGAACTAAATAGACAAGTTTACAAGGAGGAAGGCATCGCCACACACCATTAGAGCTTCAGCAAGCCCTTCTGAGATGGCAGCATCATTGAAACCACCACCTGAAAAGGGTATAGCTGAAAGCCACTGAAAGAATATGTCAATGTCCGTAGTCCAACCACTCCGTCGAACTACGCAAGCTGCATGAAAAATCATTTTCATAAGGAAAGCAAAAAAGGAAAACTACATAATGTGGGTATAAGCGAAATTACAAGTCCAAAATGGATAATCATCATTAAAGTCGAAATAGCCAGAGCAGAGATTACCGAGGAGAAGAGAAGGTCTATTAAAATAGTAGGTATAGAATAAGTGAATAAAACTTTATGACAAGCAAACTACATTCACAAGCAAAAAATTTCAGTTCATGAAAATAATAAGCCTCTCTATCTCACAATTATATGAGTGATGGATGTGTAACTACAAAACAATTAAAGATCCTTCAGAGAGGTCAATATAGAAGCATGATTAAGTGGGAAAAAGAAAAATCAAGTTTCTGGCAGATTGCAGCTTCCGAATAGAAATTAATATGATTCCAGAATGGAAAGGAATCAGGAAGACAAGCAAGATTTTTCAAAGTTAATTCTGAAATCATGAAACAAGCATACATAATAAGAGCATTTTTGAGCCTCTTTTTCCTTAAGAATGCATTTTTAGAATAGTAGATTGATGGAGAATGTGTGGTTGAAAAATAAAAAAAAAAAATTTGGATTTGCGTGTAATATCATTTTATTGAAGAATGTGTGGTTGAAAAGAAGAGAGAAATGGGAATCAAACAAAGGCTAAAACCAGCAAAATCTTAAAATACACTAATGCATCAAACAATTTCTCTCTCTCTTTTTTTTTTTTTAAATTTCAAGAGAAGGAAGAATAAAAGCAATTAACCAATGAGGAATCTTTCTAAGACTTATATCAAGTGGTAGAAACAGTCACTACAAAAGCCCATGAACATAGCAATAGTGATTAAGGTACGCACCACTATAAGAACCATGAGAATTGAACATGACCAGAGAGAATGCAACATTATAAGTAGATGGCTTCTGGAAATTTGATAGAAAGCAAACATAAAAAATTAGCGAATATATATATGAAAAAAATAATTCACTTTTGCATAAACAAAGTAAATGTTAATGATAATGGAGAAAGAAGCACTATAATTTTCGAAAATTAGCAATATTATATATATATATGTGTGTGTATACCTGAACTGCCAACTCATTTCCAACAAAACTCCTGCATATATTTAACAGGAAAATAAAAACCAACAAATATTAAAGACTGAAGATATTGTCCACAGAGCAAATATACTAAATAAATTATGTCAAACCCTCATCATTGATTACTACAAAACAGATCGCCCCTGGCGGCATCAATTGTTACAAGTAAAATATAATGTTATTTTGTTCATAATTAAATTTGTCAATCTAGCCTAAATTTTGCGCATTTTATTAATAAGCATCTTTCAATCCAACAGAGGATATACAGGGCTTTCTATCTGTCAAACCAAGAATATAATACTATATAACGCATGAATATAATACTCGAGTTCCTAACCAAGAGAGCTGAGATTAGGCACTATTCCTCTTCAAATGATCAGAGGATTCCTTATCCACTAGAAAGTTTTTTTTTTTTTTTTTATAACCGTGGATGTTCGGGCAGCTTGGCGCACCTCGACTAATTCCATGGGACCCTGAAGTTTACGGCCGGGTACTCACCTCAATGGCCTGAGAGGACTCGAACTGATGACCATTGGGGAGATGTTCCTTACCCAAAAAAAAAAAAAGGAAAACAAAAATAAATAAAAAAGATGCATAGTTTGGGTCAAAACAATAAATCCCTGTGTCTGAGTTTATAGTTCATATATCATTCTACGAGAAAAAAACAAAAAAATATGATGCCAATCAGTGACAGACAGAAATAAATTGAACAATGAATAAAATTCCATTTGCTTATCAAGAATACCAAAAGGTAGGAAAAACATACGCCCAAAAGCTATTTATTCAATTCATAGATCAATTCGCCAGATAAACAAAAATGACCGATAAATGGCAGTCTATTTACTCATCAAGAACACAAAAGCATCTTCCGATTTTCCATTAATACATTAATTCTAAGAGAAAATGAGTATTAATTTCCCAAAAAAAAACTCTATTGAACCCCGAAAACCCATTTCAGAATACTAATACATTCCACACAAAAACAAACCCATAACCCATAACAATTCACCCCAATAAAAATAAATAAATAACACGGTCACACGTATACACACACATAAACACACATAGAAATCACAGTACTGGTAAATGAAATACCGAATCATCTTGTCAAGGTAATCGGAAAGAATGGTAAACCAGTAAGGGCCCATGGCGGCCGTTCCTTCAACAGCCACGATAAGCTGTTTCTGCGCCATGTATCTGTAGATATTCTCAAAGCAATCTCAACTCTTCAATTTCTTCTTTCTTTCTTTCGTTCTTGTTTTTGTTTTGAGGAGTCACTGGTTATCTGCCCGCCCTATTGAGTCCCAACAGTTTTTATTCACTCGGTCCTCACCTAGTAGGTGTGCAAGTAGAGTAACGCTTTTGGGGACAATAGTCAGGGTTTTGGCATTGTTGGTTTCTAATTAAAATCAGATTCTAATCTAAGTTAAAATCAAACAATTAATATTAACATCTTTCGTGGATCTCACAACTTTTCAACCACACATTTCAAAAACTTCTATCACAATCTACTAAAAATTTAATTTTAATCCCCACCAAACACTCCATAGTGGTCATGTGTATAAATTAAATGTCATAAATAGTAGTAGACACCTCCAGACTTTTCAAAATTGTGCAATGGAATCCAAAGACACGTTATTTGACCATAAAACCGATTATCCTAATTTTGACAAGTCCAATGAAGGGCAAAAAATGTCTATTTACCTTTTCCAACATGTAAAAAAAATTTCGGTTGAGCACCCTTTTGTATACTATTTTAGAAGGAGAATGAAGATAGTACTTTATACTCTACGACAATGAGGTCCCTAGAGAACTCCAAAATGGCTAATTGCCACAAAATGGATTGCCATCTCAAAAAGACCTTGCTAAGTATCACATGGACGAATTCTTAGTAAAAATATTTAGCCAAATTCTCGCCTATGATGGCATTGAGGTTCCACTCAATCAGCTTACGAATTTGCATAATGAACACACGAAAAGTAAAGGTAGCAATGTAAATAAACACGCTGATTTACGGGTACTCTACAATAATACAAGAAAATGGAGGAATACTGAAGGAACACAACACATACCGTGTCTCATCAGTCTAGCCTTCTCAATTTATAGACCAAAATTCGTATGCAGTTAACACTCTTAACTGCAAAAGGGATAAACCAACCCAATTGGCTTAGAACTGCCAGAAATTGATTTCCACAACCATTCCCAGCAACCGTCCATACTTTCCACCTGTATGGATCACGAAAATTACCCAACACGTGTCAAACATGTGCCCAATTTGGACACCCGAATTTGTAGACTAAAGCCCACTAACAGCAAGTTGGATCAACCCATGCCTTGCCAATTTGTAACACTTTGACACCCGCCAAATTGAAGCCCACATTTTCCTTGCTCCGAAATCTGAAGTATGCACCATCAACACATTTATTCGCAAATCTCGACATGAGTGTAAGGGGTGCTCATGCCATTGCGCATGTCAACCTTTAAAGGGCCGACAAACCTTCCCCACCGAAAGAGTCCAACATCCTCGTCGGAAGAGAATTAAGATACTCATTCACCTTGTCCTCAAACTGCCACAAATCGACATCCCTTTCATAGGTTACATCAACCCCGATACTACCTTTCCACAAAACAAAATAGTCTGTTCTTTTATTCTTTTTGCTCGCCCCTATTGTTCGAGACACATAATCTTTGTCACCTCCTTATCATACTTTTTTCTGATCATAGGAAGAGCCCATCTTGGTGTACAAACGATCTTCTCCCACCAAACTTTCATTAAAGGGCTTCAAATAGTTCACGTGAAAAATAGGATGAACTTTTAAACGATCAGGTAGCTTCAAACGATATGCTACCTTCCTAACACGCTTGATTACTTCGAAGGGACCGTCATATTTTTGATCCAGCCCATGATGTACGGTCTTGATACTAATCTTTTTCCAAATCTGGGGAGTTAATTTCAACAAGACTTTATCCCCACCTGGAACTCCACATCCCTATTGTTCTGATCAGCATACTTCTTCATTTTTTAGGCAGCCTTCACAAGACAGTCCTTTGCATGCTCAATCATCTCATATTTGTCTTGAGCAAATCGAAAAGCAGCTGGACATAACTGCGTCCCCCTTTCTTTTACAATCTCGAGAGGTGTCTTGGACATACGCCGCATAGTTAACTCGGCCGGACACATCCTCGTAGTAGAAGATTATGTAGATTGTAGCAAATTTGTGTTGTATCGAGCAAGGTAACCCAATTTTCAAACTTGCTGTAACATAGTGTCTGAGATACTCCTCCATCAATGCATTTATCCTTTCCGTCTTACCATCTGTCTGCGGATGATTTGTTGTTGAGAACTTCAATTTAGATCCTATCATGTTGAACATCATGGTCCAGGATTCCTCGGGTATTCCAAAGTACTTCACAACATTCTTGAAAAATAATCTCGCAGCAACATCTGCTATACACTCATGTGGAGCTGGAATAAAAACTGAATATTTTGAAAATATGTCCACCACTACCATAATGGACTTGAACCCATCAACTTTCGGGAAACCTAAAATGAAATCCATGGAAATCGACTGTCAGGGCCGTTCTAGAACCGGAAAAGGCTGGAGCAAACATGTCTCTTATCTCATTTCTATTTTATCTTGTTGACACACTAAGCAAGATTTCACATATGCCTCTACCTCGTCACCCATCTTCGGCCAGTAATACGATTTCAAAAGCAAACCCAACATCTTTTCGATGCCCGGATGGCCTACCCATAATGGATAATGAGTTTCCTTCAACAATATTTGCATTAGTCTGCCACCTGAAGGCATATACAATCTGCTGTTATTGGAAAAGATCAAACCATCTTCAATCCAATACTGTCTTACTGATAAGCGTATTTTCTACACTTATTCGAGGCT